TCTTGAAAAAAAATTACAAAATGGTCTAACAGGAGAAATATATTTTTTTCATTAACACAAGCAGTTAAGCGAATCTAGAAGTAATTGCTTTAATAGGTCAAATTGACTATCGAGCATATAATTACCCAAGCGAATGTGTTAAACAGACGTGATATAATTGCAACAAGTGACGAAATGGCCGCTTATTACAGTGTCCATAAGACTGTGGGTGATGATTTGAGTGGCCGCTGGCCGTGTTATACAGGTGGCCGTTTATTCCAGTTAAAATATATAGTAAAAGTCGTCGGGGGGAACTGAAAGTGGCCGCTGACCGCGAGTGGCCGTTGATTGGGGTGGCCGCTAAGACAAGTTTGACTGTAATTTGTTAATTTTACTTGGGAGATACATGTTTTATGATTAGTTGATATTTTTAGTGGCCACAGGAGTTTACCAGAACAGTACATTTGGACTGGCAGCCATTCTGCCCATGAAGTACACAAATGCCATCGTCCTGGGAACAGTAAGTTCAAGGGGTCATATCGGTCGAACAGTTCTCTCGGAGAAATTACTGCCTTAATTGTTTTGCTAGCTTTCAAACAAAGGCTAAGTTTCAAACAGAGGTTAAGTTTCAAACAGAGAATGAATGGACTACTGTAACAGTTACTATTACAGTTACTATTACTCAAAGACTGGCTGCTGGGGTAGTTCGATGGTTTTCATTGTTTTAGATTTTTCATTCTTCTTTTTTATATGACTTCATTCACATGTAATTCTCCTTTTCTTTTTTAAAAGGAATCATTTCATTCAACACATTTGAAATAATTCTGTTTGATCTGAGTAAAATACTAGTATGAAGGTATTGCAGATTCTTTAACAAATTAAGTCAACTAATCAGAAAGTTACTTCTAATGATCAATATCGGCAGATCACAAGGCACAAATGTAAAACATGTCAAAATTTAAAAAAAAAAAACTGTTATTTCCTGATTGAACATGCTGTTTTTAATTTCAGAATTTTTCTGGTGTGTTTATTGCTGTCATCAATATCATATGCATTATCAGTGAGTATAAGAAGATTTTTTTCTTAAGAGTCTTCAAAGTTAACAAAAAATATTTGATACACTTTATATCTTTTCAAGGAAAGAAGTGATTTTGATTTAACTGTGTGAATGTACATACTGGGTAGACTAAAGAAGTTCTCAACATTATATCATTTACAGGTGCCCCTCACCCAGGCTATCTACTATTTTGTGTGTGCTATAGCTGTCCTGTTGTATGTATTTGATGTTTATATATATATAAACATTATTTTGTTTAGGCCATATAAAATTGAAATTTTTGTGTGTGCTATAGCTGTCCGCGCGCATCCGTTTTATATATATGTTAACATTATTTTGTAGCCGCATTGCTAATTTTGTGTGTGCTATTTTTGATAAATATATAAAAGTTGGTATTGCGGTGCCCAATAGGAAAAAAATTTTGTGTGTGCTATAGCCTCATTTGTTTATGTGTGATGTTTAGTATTCAAATATCACTTCCGGTGGCCATTTGCAATGAGATTTTGGCTACTTCGTTTGAAAATACATTTGAGGACATAACCTACGATGTTTACACGCTGATTAGCAATGGATAAAGCAGGAATTTTGACCAGAAATGGAAAGTATATCATTCGGTGATTAAAAACATTATCTTTATGTTAAAGAAAATTCGAAAATTAAAATTAAAAAAATACCTCCCTTTTCATGTGTTTTATTGCCAATAAAATGATTGCTGCTGTCTAAAATGCCGCCCTCCCGCATCTGTTTTGGAGAAAATTGGCCTGAGAACCAGAGAATTAAATTTAGATAGCCTTACAGGTGCCCACTAGGACCCAGGCTATCTATTATTTTGTTTGTGCTATAGCTGTCCTGTTGTATGTATTTGATGTTTATATATATGTTAACATTATTTTGTTTACAGGTGCCCCGGACCTTAGGACCCAGGCTATCTATTATTTTATCTGTGCTATAGCTGTACTGTTGTTTATGTGTGATGTTTATACATATGTTAACATTGTATCATTTACAGGTGCCCCGGACCCTAGGACCCAGGCTATCTATTATTTTGTGTGTGCTATAGCTGTCCTGTTGTATGTATTTGATGTTTATATATATGTTAACATTATTTTGTTTACAGGTGCCCACTAGGACCCAGGCTATCTATTATTTTGTTTGTGCTATAGCTGTCTTGTTGTATGTATTTGATGTTTATATATATATGTTAACATTATTTTGTTTACAGGTGCCCCAGACCCTAGGACCCAGGCTATCTATTATTTTGTGTGTGCTATAGCCGTCCTGTTGATCGCATTTGATGCATACTTTCTCCTACCATTAATGGTGAGTCAGCTTTACTCTGGGTGTGTAAAAAATGAATTATAAAAATATCAGCCAAATCTAACGTTATTTCAGTTATTCAAAAGAGATAAAGATGAATTTTTTTGCACTGCTTCACAGGAGTAACGATTCTCTAACTTTTTTCATGTGTTTTTTATTTATAGAAATTTTATCAGCATCACCGTGCGGTGGTGCGGCATCAACAGAATACATCAGGTCCTTCAAGGTCATTCTCGGAGACCTGTGCCCTGTTTGGTCAAGTCCTGAAAAAGGTGAGAATATTGTGTAGAGAAAGTTTTATATTGTATGAGAAAACAATCCTTGTATGTCTCATAGTTACTTATTTTCTTATTAAATGACCTTGACCTATTTTACAGATCTGGGTCCAGGCTCTGTGTGTGTGGTTCATTTTCTTCGTTACCTTGACAATATTTCCTGGAATTTGGAGTAATGTCACCAAAAAGGATTTCCCAATAGAAAGTAAGAAGTTTGAAATAAATTAACCATTTTTCATGCCCCTCCATGAATATGGACGGGGCATATAGTGTTTGTCATGCCCATGTTCCGTCATTCCGTCTGTCCTTCCATCGTGCTTTGCATTCAGCTCAGTTCAAAGCTAAATTTCAAAGAAACTATTCAAGATAGTTTTATCAAACTACATTTGCTGATAGTAAGTTATTCAAGTACATCAGCATTTTTTTTATCTTGACCTTTCATTTACCTTGACCTCACTTTTCCTAAAATAGTGTTTAGCTTCATTTAAAGATACCATTCAAGATAGTATAATAAAACTTAATATGATATTTTTTTTTTTTGAATTTGATTTATGCAATATTTTTTACATAATACAAAGATTTAAATGACTGCACTTCATAAGAGTAAAGCTCAAAACCCGACACGGAGACATTGGACATTCCTGTCTGACTTAAAAAATGACAAATCGGACCTGAGGCACTGCACATCGGTAAGGTCAGGTCACTGCACATCGGTAAGGTCCGACGGTACAATGACCTGAGGCACTGCACATTGGTTAGGTCCGACGGTACAATGACCTGAGGCACTGCACATTGGTTAGGTCCGACGGTCCAATGACCTGAGGCACTGCACATCGGTTAGGTCCGACGGTCTGATGCCTTTTGCATGGCCTGTCTTGACTTGTTGGATTACTTCTCTAAAAATTGTCGTGGTCTCTCAGGACTGTTAATTTTGTTCCTTGTTTTACAGATAAATACTGGACGGCCATTTTCTGTTTCCTGAGCTTCAATGTGTTTGCATTCCTAGGAAACATTGTCTCAGAGTGGAAGAAGATTGTAAGTTTTTGCTTTATAAGTTTGGGAAGTTTAATATTGATAAAATTTTAAAGTGTTTTGTACAGTTTGTGGACATTACTGACTTCTTGTACATGAAAGTGACCATCCACAAACATTTAGCTTTGCCAACAAACACAAAATAAGATTTTTCAAATAAGCATAACCAAGATTTGGTCAGTGTTGTTTTTTTAATATCAAAAGAACTAATCACAAAGCATGGGAGGCCAAATATAAATACACAACAACTGATACCTTTATCATTTGTGTTTATGCTGTTTTCTTTTACACATTTTATCATAACTATTACAGCCTGGTCCCCGATTTGTCTGGATCCCCGTCCTTTTACGAGGCCTCTTCATCCCGTTTTTCCTGTTCTGTCGATTTGAGGTGGAGAACAAGGAGAGAACATTCCCAATTCTGATTGACAATGATTACGTGTACATCGTGGGGGGAATTCTCTTGGCCTTCACCAGTGGTTACTACAGCAGTCTTACCATGATGTACGGACCTAAGTAAGTAATGATTCTGATTGACAATGATTACGTGTACATCGTGGGGGGAATTCTGTTGGCCTTCATCAGTGGTTACTACAGCAGTCTCACCATGATGTACGGACCTAAGTAAGTAATGATTCTGATTGACAATGATTACGTGTACATCGTGGGGGGAATTTTTCACCAGTGGTTACTACAGCAGTCTCACCATGATGTATGGACCTAAGTAAGTAATGATTCTGATTGACAATGATTACGTGTACATCGTGGGGGGAATTCTCCTTGCCTTCACCAGTGGTTACTACAGCAGTCTCACCATGATGTATGGACCTAAGTAAGTAATGATTCTGATTGACAATGATTACATATACATCGTGGGGGGCATTCTACTGGCCTTCACCAGTGGTTACTACAGCAGTCTCACCATGATGTACCTTCTGATTGACAATGATTACGTATACATCGTGGGTGGTTACTACAGCAGTCTCACCATGATGTACGGACCTAAGTAAGTAATGATTCTGATTGACAATGATTACGTGTACATCGTGGGGGGAATTCTCTTGGCCTTCACCAGTGGTTACTACAGCAGTCTCACCATGATGTATGGACCTAAGTAAGTAATGGTTCTGATTGACAATGATTACGTGTACATCGTGGGGGGGATTCTGTTGGCCTTCACCAGTGGGTACTACAGCAGTCTCACCATGATGTACGGACCTAAATATTTATGATTCTGATTGACAATGATTACGTGTACATCGTGGGGGTTTATTCTCTTGGCCTTCACGAGCGGTTACTACAGCAGTCTCGCCATGATGTATGAACCTAAGTAAGTAATGGTTCTGACTGACAGTGATTACGTGTACATCGTGGGGGGAATTCTCTTGGCCTTCACCAGTGGTTACTACAGCAGTCTCACCATGATGTATGGACCTAAGTAAGTAATGATTCTGATTGACAATGATTACGTGTACATCGTGGGGGTTTATTCTCTTGGCCTTCACGAGCGGTTACTACAGCAGTCTCGCCATGATGTATGAACCTAAGTAAGTAATGGTTCTGACTGACAGTGATTACGTATATGTACACTCTGTTGTTTGTGTTAAATATGGGGGACATAATTAATGACCACGTGTACATTGTGGGAGGCATTCTAATGACCTTGACCTGCATACTTGAGCAGCCTCACTATGATGTATGCACCAAAGTAAGTTAGTAGAGGCTTAACCTCTTGATTATTATATCAATGTTGGGGACGCACTCATTTCATGGCTACATACATGTATACAATGTTAGAGGATTCATCTTAGTGGATATTATTGTAGCTCTAATAACATTTATGTTCCTTTTCATTGACAGGTTGGTAGAACCAGAGGTTGCTGGAATTGCCGGGATGATCATGGCGTTCTGTCTCGTGATGGGCATCACAACTGGTGTCAACTTCTCATTAGCTGTCGCTAGTATGGCAATACAGTGACCATGGAAACAAAAGATCAGAGAGATACTGCCGAAATTATCATGTACTGCCCAACGAGAATCGGGGGTCCAAATTCATGCACCAAGATAGTTCCTGAATCACCAGGGACCTGGTTTTTCTATCATTCACAGCTTATTGAAGAAAATGAGAGTAATAATAAATAAAAATGTGAAGGTCTGATTGAAATTTACAGTCCCAACCTTGTTATTCAAGTACAAGAAAGTTTCTTCATTTGATTAATATGCATTAAGCTATAAAATTGCATCGTCACTAAGAACCAGTTTAAAATGATATAAAATTAAATGTTTTATGTCTAAGTAATTAAAGACGTAGATATCTTGCAAAATCCTTTAACAACAAAAAAATAAATAGAACTTGCTTCATTCATTCGTAAAAGAATTTGATTAAGAGTTCGCCATATTTTTTATCCCTTGTATGCAAGACAACAATCTAAATAAATTAGTGCTTGTAAAGAAAGATAACTGGACAAAAGGAATCATGAGTAAAATCCATCATGTCAAACAATGATTGATTCAGCTCTAGAGAAAAAGTGGAGAGACCAGAGAATACTGTATGGCACAACTGTCCTGTCCCAAAATCAGTTGTCAAGATCTCTTCCATGTATATGTGCTATTATGATATTCTCTATAGTCATGCTCATTTATTGAGAAACACAACATTTATTTTTTATTTAAGGAATGAAGCTTATTTCAACTTATGTTATTTGATATAACATAACATAAATGCCCCAAGTTTTGTTATATCAGATAACATAAGTTGAAATAAGCTTCATTTCTTATGATTTAATTTCAATGTAGACAATGAGACAAGATTTCCTCCAGAAATAAGCTTCAAAGTGAGCATTATTTTAAAAGTAATGTCAAGCGGAGTGATACATGTTTGACGTAACTCACTGTGACAAAGGCAAGTTAACGTTATACAAAATGGATAAAACCGTTTAACCAATCAAATGACGCGTTACAACTGAAATTAAATTATTTAGAATTATCTTTCTGTACAATGCCCTGCTTATTAAACTCTGAAAACTTGCTATACATGTAGGTATTTAATGTAGAAAGATTAAGCCAAACTTTTTGATTGATAAAGCCTACCTCCATTGTGTTAATGTGTCAGAAGTATATCTCATAAGAAACCTATAGAGACAGTCTCCCATAGGAATATAAATGACTGCATTATAATTATCACTTTTTATGTTCATACTGTTTGAGTCTTGGTTTCACTACATCTTATATTAGCTTTGCTATCTTTAGTTATTTGTTAGTACCTGATAGGTTTGTTGGCTTACTTGTTGTCTGATGGCTGACTAGTAGTGTGTTGGCTGATTCGTTGTTTTTAAGTATTGCTTTTTTAGGCAGCTTTATCATCACTTCTCTGGCATTACTGTATGTTCTGTTTTATGAGACTAGTACAAGTGTGGTACCCTTTCTGAAATGTACTTATTTTTGATCACCACTTATAAAGAATATCACACAATTAGATGTGATTAATTAAAAGGCAGTGTTATTTTAATACTGCAATAATTAGTACACCAGTAGAAGTACTTACTTTAAATAGACTGAAATAAATACATGCATGGTAATTTCTTAGGACAAAAGCAATGTGTTTATGTACAGTTTACACTATTTTCTACATATACATGTATGTATAAAGAAGAAAAGTCTCATCCTTTAGAGAGATGATTCCTTTTGTTTTAATGGGACAATGACCTGAATGAAATGTTAATTCTAAAATGTGACTACTAACTTGAACTCGTTTTTGGCTGTGTATTTAAATCATCTTTAAAGTCACAAAATTCAGACATTTAATAGTTTTCTGAATTTTCAAATTACTCCTCTTTGTAAAAAAGATTGAGTCAGAATAATAATAAATTGTTGACAATCCATTGCTTGACACAAGTATATCGTAAAAATCTGCCTCTGAAATCCAGGGTAATTACATGTAAGTCAGCTGAGTTTGAACTGACTTAACTGTAAATATTGGTGTTTTATTCTGAAGTGAAATGTTAATGATTTATTGTGCCTGTCTTTACTTCTTGTACACATGCTGTATCTGTTTCAATACATGGAATTATTCAGACATGTTTTGGTCATTATTGTAATCTTTTGTGACCTAAAATGAAGTTATAAGATGATTCATGTAGACATGCTACTACATGTGCATGCTTTTTGTTTTTATTACCCAGTAGAAAGAAATTGTTCTTTTTATGTTTTTGTATTTTTGTAAAGATAGTAATTTGTTGCATTAAAACCTACATGTAGGTTTTAAGAAGTGCTGAATTTTAATTATTTGGGATTAATTCTTAAATGTCAAACTGTTATTGTTACCTAAATGCATGTACAGTAGCTTAGAATGATTCAGTATATGGTTAAATAAAATCAGGTTTGAATTATTATGATAAGTACATGTGGGCATTACTGTAATCATGTCTAGTTTACAATTAAACAGTCAAATGATGTTAAAAAAAAGGAATTAGTATAAACACTACTTTATACATTTATATGTATTAAAGAAAAATAGAATGATTTCTACACTTTGATGTAAGGTATTAGAATACTGTGAATGTACTTAATATAGTGTATTTTGCACTGCTTTATGTCCAGTTATTCATGTACATATTAATACACAGTTTGAACAAATGTTGTTCTCATGACTAAAGTGCACTATAATGTAATCTGGTTACCCAGTTCTAGAGGAAAGTTGTACTTAATTTTGAGTGTGCCAACTTATACAGTTGTTTCTACATGTATATGAATATCGGGTGCATTCAATATGAAAAACATACAGAATATTTGTAGATTAATGAAATTATTAATTGTTTTAGTCTTTAGTCTAACAGTGGGCAAATCAGACAAACAAGAATGCAGATGTTAAGCTTTAGATATAATAGCTGTATATAAATGTAACTTATGATTTGAAACTGCTTCTTTAGATAAACTTATTATAAAAACATGAATACAAAGTTCTACAAGGATAAAACACTTACCGGTACTTCCAGTTCATTTTAGACTATTTTGATCTCCTTTAGAAGAAGAGCTCCACTCACTTCCAGTTCAGGATGGCTGAAATCCAATTTATCCACAAGTGTATGAATAAACAAAACACTGCTCAGAATGATTTCCCCAAAAGGATTTATGTCAGTGTGTTTAAGTGGTGAATAGCAATAGAGACAAAATGGCGATTTTTGAAGGAAAAATTATCTAGGTGAAGCTTACTAGTTATAAGTAATATTTAATGCTGTAAAATGCGTAAAGTAAGATGATTTAAATGAGTTGTATTCCTAGAGTGTTTGTTAATTATATGACATGGCATTGTTTATTTAGTTGTTGTACATTGTCTCTTTCTGTTTTACTGTATCCTTGTCTTAGCACAATGCCAAAATTTTGTTCATTTGGCTTAATATTCATTTGACTCGCTAATTATATTTTTGTTTTATTCTCATCTATCTTCATGATCTTTTTGGAAAGAGTTTTCTTTTTTTTCGCATGATTTACTGTTGATTATTTTCAAAAATCAAGAAAGTTCTTTATGAGATAAATTATATTTCCTCTGCACTGTACATTATTAGTTTTCAAAAATTTCAATCATTTTCACATCAAACTAGTGTTTATGGTATTTTCCTTAGAACATTATACATGATGTATAAGAAGTTATAGGCACAGCACATAGAATGACGTTGATGTATTTGTTGACTCCATAGATTTTTGCTTCATCTACATTTTGTAACCATGCATGTTTTCTTTGACCCATTTGTATTTATGATTGCTTTTATTTATGCCATGGATAAACTTTATAAATTGTTTTTAATTGATGCTCATCAGTTCTCAGACACTTATCCTTAGTTCACCCATAACAGATAAGAATTTTACATTCAATACACATAGTGCACTTTCCTTTATGAAACAATTGTAATGTAAAAGTGCTGTTTTATTTTTTGAGGACATTTATTTTAATTATCTTTTTGTTTTGATGTTTTGAATTGCCTGTTAATTTTAATTGACACATTAATAAAGGTGACCAACTGAATTGGTAAGCCTTTTATGATTCACAATTCATGTATTGAACTACTGTTGAAGTGACACGTATCTGCTGTAAGGTTTTTTTTGTTTTTGTTTTGTTTATTTTGTGTGTACATGTGTGTGTGAGTATTCAATATTTTCCCTTCATTACGTATATTGTTGTGCTAGGTTTAATCTTTAATGTTTTGTCTGTGTTGAAGTATAGGACATTCATGTTTTTTAAAATAAAAATTAAAAGAATGTTAGTTTGAGATGTGCTCCTTTATTAGCTGACCTGCTTTAAGATTCCTATGAAGCAGAATTTATATTCAAAAACTTCTACAGAAAAAGAAGAAAACACTTAGTGTGGCCTTCAACTCATAATTCAGACATATCAATGACTTTTTAGCTCACCTGAGCCAAAGGCTCAAGTGAGCTTTTCTGATCAGAATTTGTCCGTTGTCTGTCGTCGTTGTCGTTGTAAACTTTTCACATTTTCATCTTTTTCTCAGGAACCACTGGGCCAATTTCAACCAAACTTGCTACAAAGTATTTTTGGGTAAAGGGGATTCAAGTTTGTTCAAATGAAGGGCCACGCCCTTTTCCAAGGAGAGATAATTATGAATTAGAGAAAAATTAATGGCATTTTAAAAAAATCTTCTCAAGAACCACTGGGCCAGGAAAGATGAAACTCCTGTAGAATCATTCTCAGGTAGTGTAGATTCAAGTTTGTTCAAATCATGAACCCCGGGGGTAGGGTGGGGCCAAAATGGCCGATCAAAGTTTCATATAGGAAAAATCTTTAAAAATCTTCTTCTCAAGAACCACTGGGCCAGGAAAGATGAAACTCATGTGGAATCATCCTCAGGTAGTATAGATTCAAGTTTGTTCAAATCATGACCCCCGGGGGTAGGGTGGGACCAAAATGGCCGATCAGTTTTACATATGAATATACAGGAAAAATCTTTAAAAATTTTCTTCTCAAGAACCACTGGACAAGGAAAGATGAAACTCACGTGGAATCATCCTCAGGAAGAGTAGATTTAAGTTTGTTCAAATCATGACCCCCGGGGGTAGGGTGGGGCCTAATGGCAGATAAAAGATTTACATAGGAATATATAGGGAAACCTTTTAAAATCTTCTTTTTAAGTACTTCAAAGCCATGCTTAGTGATATTTATAGGGAATCATCCTTAGGTAGTGTAGATTCTAGTTTGTTCAAATCATGACCCCTGGGGGGTTAAAATTCAAGGCCCCCTCCCCCTCCAGTAAACTTTCAGTTCTGATCTGATATGTGCTTTTCACTAGCCAATTGCTCAGGTGAGCGATGTGGCCCCTGGGCCTCTTGTTATCGATTGACATTGAATAATTCCATTCATATGTCGACTTGATTTTTCCCATTTTGAACTTGAAATTAAAGACGTCTTAGAGTCTGCCCCATCTGTTTCATAGTAAGATGTTTATAGACTATAAGACAACAAAGACCAACTAAAAACTAAATTGTATGACAAACAAGATGGATGGTTTTTCCATTGTTTGCTTTCCTTATTTATGTAGTAATATTCCACTATCACCTGCATGAAATATAGAGATAAGTAAAGGTATTCAAGCTCGGAGTGTATTTAAACAATGCAAACCTGGAGCTAAGCAAACACAGACCACCAAAAACATCAAAGGTGGCATGAAGGTGTGAATGTCCCCGCCCACCGGTCACACCCGCCGAGTATTTCTCGTCATGATCGGGGAAAATAGAAAAGTCCGCAGACAATTCACTGTGTATAAAAATAGCCTAAGAATTAGTATGAACAACGCCAGTCAGGATTTGACTTAATGATAGATTGTATTTGCTGACAAGGTCATTGTATCAACCCTAAAAACTTGCGAAATGACGACTTCAAACGAGACTGTTGACTTGCACAGGTGCTTATGTCTCCCAACTTATTTGCTACTGAAGAGCATGCCCTGAGTGCGATCAATTTTTATACCGGGGCAGGAATTTTGGCTTAAGAAAATTTTATATATTATGATAATAAACTGCTACTCTCACATAAGTTGATGTTGCAGGAGATTCAACAATCTCTTTTAAAGTCAGCATTCTTTATTGTTGTAATGACCTTATCAGCAAATCTAACCTATCACCGGGTTGTATTTTGGCTGACGTCTTTCATACCGGTTTGTACTAACCCTGACTATGGAATGTTCCGTCTATTTGATCAATACGGCGTGTGTTACCGGTCAACAGGAGATGCTTTATCCTCCTAGGCACCTGATCCCACCTCTGATATTTCCAGAGGGTCCGTGTTTATGCCGTGTTCACATATTTGTATTGTTTGTAGTTATTTTATTACACAGATTATCCTCTTTCATTTGGTGTAAAATCAGACTCAACATGTTCTACGTATGAAAATCAACTTGACATGTTGTGTTTCTGTTCACTATGCTGGATTAATCCGTTCAGTGTTCAGAATAGTGGGTTAATAGAGAGGTTTAGCAAGCTCACTTGTACGTGTACAAGTACGTATAAACTACAAGTTAGAATTACACGTACACGTTAACATTTTTTTCTTGTTTAGCAAAGTAAAACTTGTACTTGTACATATAAGTTTTTAAATGTAAAAGTGGTTTACATACGTTTTTCATACCAATTGTTAGTCCATTATTTATACACTGAATTGACCACGGATTTTTTCCGTTATTTCCTGATTATGACAACGAGCACACGGCGGGTGTGACCGGTCAGTTCTTTGGATGCTATTAAATATCCATGGCACCTGATCCCACTTCTGATGTTTCGTAGGTCCGTGTTTGCTTTGCTCTTATTTTGTATATTTGTTTAATGGACGTTGAGATTGAATACTGTTCGTTATTTCCATATCCTTCCTTACATTTAAAAAACATCCGAAAAAGCAATGATTTTAATACGTATATTACCGTTTTACATAAATATATGTATGTACTTACATGCATGAGAAAAAGATTGTACAGATTTCTTATATTTTTAATCAGTCAAAGCCTGTTTCAAAAAAATCTAGATGTTGTGATTTTAACTCCCTATATATTAATATTTTTCAATTACTGACGTTCAGTTCTTTTATCAGTATTTATTAAATATTCAGGATTTAGAAAACGCACTCTTTTTGAAAAATAAACACTGGTTAAAGAATTATAAGCTACAAGTTTTGACTTACGTGTACTTGGCAATCTACACGTAACCTGCGTAAGAAATGTAGAAATTCGTCATTAGCAAAAGTGATGACGTAATGAACAGATTTCTGGTGCTACACGTACACGTACGCGTACACGTTAACCTCTCTAATGCCACACAAGATTTAGAAATCTAACAATTACAGTCCTCTATTCTTGCCGTTAGATACATATACCTAGGCAGGGCCTATGTTGATTCATCCGTTTGTTAGATATCTGTAAGAAACTTTGGTGTGTGTATATGTCTGTTAGATATCAGAGAGGTTTAGCAAACCAATGTGTACGCGTACGTGTACGTGTAGCACCAGAAATCTGTGCATTACGTCATCACTTTTGCTAATGACGAATTTCTACACGTATCTTCTTACGAAAGGCTACGTGTGGTACACGTAAGTCAAAACTTGTAGCTTATAATTCTTTAACTGCTGTTTATTTTTCAAAAAGAGTGCGTTTTCTAAATCCTGAATATTTAATGCAAATACTGATAAAAGAACTGAACGTCAGTAATCGAAAAATATTAATATATAGGGAATTAAAATCACAACATCTAGATTTTCGAAACAGGCTTTGACTGATTAAAAATATAAGAAATCTGTACAATCTTTTTCTCATAAGTACATACATATATTTATGTAAAACGGTAATATACGTATTAAAATCATTGCTTTTTCGGATGTTTTTTAAATGTAAACCACTTTTACATTTAAAAACTTATATGTACAAGTACAAGTTTTACTTTGCTAAACAAGAAAAAAATGTTAACGTGTACGTGTAATTCTAACTTGTAGTTTACACGTACTTGTACACGTACATGTGAGCTTGCTAAACCTCTTTATTTGTAAGAAACTTTGGTGTTTGTATATATCTGTAAACACAAACTGCGTTGCTTTTCCATGTTTGATTGATTGATTGATTTTATATTGTTAAACGCCGAGTCGGCAATATTTCAGCCATATTTCGGCGACCCCTTCCGGGCCTCGGCTCCATTACTAATAGGAAATGGAGCGCTACTCGTAGATTAATCCTTACATAATCTTGTCTTCCTCTTTTGGACGTATAATTAAGCTTCTGATAATTGTAGACTTCTTGTTGTCCTTTGTTGATTATCTTTTCTTTTATGTTATTCTTGTTGTTCTCTGTTGTTCTTGTTGTTCTATGTTGTTCTTGTTGTCCTCTGTTGTTCTTGTCCTCTGTTGTTCTTGTTGTCCTCTGTTCTTGTTGTCCTCTGTTGTTCTTGTTGTCCTCTGTTGTTCTTGTTGTCCTCTGTTATTCTTGTTGTTCTCTGTTGTTCTTGTTGTCCTCTGTTGTTCTTCTTGTCCTCTGTTGTTCTTGTTGTTCTCTATTGTTCTTGTTGTAATATGTAGTTCTTGTTGTCCTCTGCTGCTCTTGTTGTCCTCTGTGGTTCTTTTCAGTTGTTGAAATGGTTGACTCTGTTGTTCTTGTTGTCCTCTGTTGTTCTTGTCCTCTGTTGCTCTTGTTGTCCTCTGTTGTTCTTGTTGTCCTCTGTTGTTCTTGTTGTCCTCTGTTGCTCTTGTTGTCCTCTGTTGCTCTTGTTGTCCTCTGTGGTTCTTTTCAGTTGTTGAAATGGTTGACTCTGTTGCTCTTGTCTTCTGTTGCTGTGTTGTCATTTGTTGTTATTATTATCTTCTGATGTTCTCTGTTGGTCTTCTTGTATTCAAGTTGTCCTCATTTGATTCTTTACTCTGTTATTCATCAAAATTTATTAATAAATCGTGTTGTCCAGTTGTTGTCCTCTCTTGATGTTGTCTCCTATTATTATAGCTGTCTTTTTTGTAAAATCCGAGAATATGTTGGTTTTTTTTCCACTAAAATGACAAAATTAGGTTTTGATAGCAAAAATACGTCAAAGAATTACATTAGAACATTTGTCTTTTATCGTAAAATGCATTGAAATTTCCAGTTGATATTTTGATAATTGCTGACCTTGCAAACTCTGATATAGATAGCATTATACATGTATTATTTTTTTTTATTACTGAAGCTTAGGATTATATAATGATTGGATCCCGGGACTCCCCGATTGTGGACAAAAGAACTTAGTT